TTTTCCCCAGAAGCCACTTATTTCACTTTTATGCAGAATACACTATTAGAATATAATTTTATGACTTGAGTACAATTCTTTTTTATTTTCTCTTCTTCTTTTTTTTTAGAAAAAAAACAAGTTTACGCTTATAATTGCTCATTAAGTGTCTTTTTTAAAAGGTTTTTTTTCTTTTCTTCTAAAAATAATTTACAATTACAAACAAAAATTGTATTTTTTTTCTGTGACTATTGAAATTTTTTTCGAATTTAAACTATTGTTATTAAATTAATTTAATTTTTTAAATTGAAATTTTACTGTGATATAATAATTTAATAGAAAAATGTTGGAAATTTTATGAAAGAGATGGAATATATATATATATATATATTATTTCATTGTTGTTTGTCTTTTCTAAAATATAACTTGAAGATTTGTTGAAAGATATATTTAATATTTCAACTGGTGCAGTGGCTGCATCTTAAATCCTATTTTGCGTTAAAATTTCAATCCGTAAATCATGTATCGTCTTTTCCTTCCTTATATGCATCGTTGCCAGCGAAAAGCCCAGAGAGCTTTTCCATGCTTCAGTATGAATCACTATTTCAGCTTAGCAGAAAGCATATCACGTCAGTAAATATTTTTATAAGTTATCTTTAAATGTTTTCCAAAAATGATAAATAAAATATATTTTGTCTTTCCAAATTGCTGATTAGATAAATTTTTAAATAATTAAGTTCATAAATAAATTTATAAAAAAAAAAAATTAAAAATAAATAAATTCACAGATTTATAAAACAACTGTAATCTACAGATATTTATATATAATTGGAACAGAATATAAAACCTGGTTATTTTTGAATTTCACATACTTGAAATCTCATTTCATATAATTTATTTTCAAAAAAAAAAGAGTAATAAAAAAATTTCAGTTATTTCTAATTAAACGGTAATAAAAAAATCACGAGATGACGATCATAAAGGCGACCTAATTATCAAACTCGGCCTATGATATTTGATATTAAACCAGTTTTATAATCGGGACAAATTTACCAGTAAATATTTCTCAAAAGATCATGATGATGATGATGATGATGATGATTATTAAGTGCAGCGAAAAAAACATTGCAAAATGCTCTTTAACAGACATTTTCTTCTTTTGTTAATTATATTGCAAGCTCGTTTTGTCAGTTTCAAAATGCTTCATTCAGTTTGAAATGGCGTCGTGAATGTACCTTCTTAATGATCTTATACTACTGATAATTTATGAGTGAAGCAAAATAGACCTTTTAATATGACTGCGTTACATTCCACTGATAAGAATATATATACACATATATGCGGGTCAATGTGTTTCCAAGGCGAAAGGCGAGTTTTATATCAAAAAAAAAAAAAAAAAAAAAAAGAAAGAGAAAAGAATAATTCTACCTTTCACATCTGAATAAAGTTGTAATTACCTTACCCATAAATAATCTCAACCAATTCTTTAATACAGATTAAGGTCACAGATGAACAATGTCTCATTATTGCTTTTAGAATAAATACCATATTAAAAGTGTGAAAGTAACTTTTACTCTTTTTTTTAATCACATGTTGATAAAAAGGTAATAATTATCCACCCAAAAAAAAAACTCCAATCGATATTTCAGAAACGTTTCTAGAAACTAAAATTTAATTATCAGTTAAGTGATTAATAACTAAAAAAGAAATTATTCAGCTTATGAAAAAAAAGAGGATAATATCTTTGTTTCACTTTCTATAATCATCTTTCTTTAATATCCAAATGTTTAAATTTAGAACCAAAAAAAAAAAATTCGAAATACAAGTCATATTTTTATTAGAAAGAAATTATAAATAAATTTTAACACGAACAAGAATAAAGAAAAAAATTTCAAACCTTAGTCGATAATAATGACGTGTGCAATTAATGATATAAGCGTGAATTGCAATTTTCAAGGTCTATATATATTAAGTGTTGTTAGAAGTGTCAGAGTCATATAAATGAACTTCTAAATAAGTGAAAAAGAGATTCATCAAAGCAACAACCTGCAAAAATCGAAATTCGAAAAATTAACTACATCAGAAATTTAGAGCCCTAATTCTTATTTAGTCTAATCTTCAATTTGATCTAATTATTATTTAGCATGAACTTCAGTTGTCCCTAATTCTTATTTGGCCTAAACTTCAATTGAACTAATTCGTATTTAGCCTAAACTTCAATTTACCTAATTCGTATTTGATCTAAACTTTAATTTGATCTAATTATTATTTAGCATGAAATTCAGTTGCCCCTAATTCTTATTTGGCCTAAACTTCAATTGACCTAATTCGTATTTAGCCTAAACTTCAATTTACCTAATTCGTATTTGATCTAAACTTCCATTTGATCTACTTATTATTTAGCCTAAACTTCAACTGTTCTAATTCGTGTATGGCCTAAACTTCAATTGCCCTAATTCTTATTTGGCCTAAACTTCAACTATTCTAATTTGTATTTGGCCTAAACTTCAATTGACCTAATTCGCATTTGACCTAAACTTCAGTTTTATCTAATTATTATTTAGCCTAAACTTCAATCGTTCTAATTCGTATATGGCCTAAGCTTCAATTGACCTAATTCGCATTTAGCCTAAACTTCAATTGCCCTAATTCCTATTTGGCCTAAACTTTAAGTGACCTAATTGGTATTTGGCCTAAACTTCAATTGTTCTAATTGGTATTTGGCCTAAACTTCAATTTACCTAATTCGTATTTGATCTAAACTTCCATTTGATCTACTTATTATTTAGCCTAAACTTCAACTGTTCTAATTGGTATTTGGCCTAAACTTTAATTGCCCTAATTCGTATTTGGCGTAAACTTCAATTGACCTAATTGGTATTTGGCCTAAACTTCAATTGTTCTAATTGGTATTTGGCCTAAACTTTAATTGCCCTAATTCGTATTTGGCGTAAACTTCAATTGACCTAATTGGTATTTGGCCTAAACTTCAATTGTTCTAATTGGTATTTGGCCTAAACTTCAATTGCCCTAATTCGTATTTGGCGTAAACTTCAATTGACCTAATTGGTATTTGGCCTTAACTGCAATTGTTCTAATTGGTATTTGGCCTAAACTTCAATTGCCCTAATTCGTATTTGGGCTAAACTTCAATTGACCTAATTGGTATTTGGCCTAAACTTCGATTGTTCTAATTCGTATTTGGCCTAAACTTCAATTATCCTAATTCGTATTTGGCCTAAAATTCATTTAACATAATTCGTATTTGATCTAAAAGGTTTCAAAAAGGATCAAATAAGAATAAATTCAAATTACAATTGTGTTTAACAAATTTCACTCACGAATAATAATTACACTGAATATGAATTCGGCCAAATTAATCAGGTTTCTGAATTAGGTCAAATAAATATATTTTAAAAGACAGAAATTGGTTTAATGAGAACAATTGAATTAAGGTAAAATAATTATTTTTGAATTATTACATATGCGATTTGAAATTTTCTTAAAGTTTAAAAATTCATGAACTTTGAAAAAAAAAAATAAAATTGTTGGCGAAAAATTTTTTGGTAGTGATGCGACAAAGGTTATATAAATGCGTCCAGCTGGCTGATAATAATGGAAGGGAGTAGAAGGTATTTTCTGAGTGAACAAGAAACAAACAGTTAAAAGTACGTGGGCCCCTCATTAAGTTGGCACTACGATTGGGTCGTTCCCCTTGATTCTTTTTTGGAATCTCGAACATGAGGGAGGCATTTTCAAAAGAGGGGTGGTTGGGGGGAGAGAGGGGGGGCCTTATGTCCCTTTCGCGGCCATTATCTCCACTTTATTTCTACAATTCTCTATAAACAGTTAAGATGTTATATTTACTATATATAAAATGAATTCGTTTGTCATAAAATTTTGATATTTTATAATTTAATTTATCCAGTTTAAAAAAAATTTTTTTTTGTAATATATTTAAAAAATTTTTTTGTACTATAAATATATATATTTTGTATTTCATTAAATATATACCTATATAGGAGATTATATTTTATCCGCATATTTTAAAAAAATAGTTTAATGAAACTTTATATATATTTTATTTTTAATTAAAAAAGTAGTTTTATAACGTTTTTTTTTATGTAACTTTGTGATATGCTTCTAATATAGAAATTTTCATTTTGTATTTTTAGTAACGATTTAAAAAAAAAAAAAAAAAAAAAAAAAAAAATGGAAAACTTCTATTCATAAATGAGATGCATCAGAAGCAAAAGATTTGGAAAATAATGATGCATGTTTATATGATAAGGTAGTATGTATGCATCTGAGTTGAATAGGAACAGTAGATATATATGTATATAGATCATTCTAAGGAAAACGGCCGATAATGAGATTATCGATATACAGAAGGGATTGCGGAAATCCCTCGGATGCAAAATCTTGTATTAAGAGCTTGTACTGTACATATATATATATATATATAGATATCCCTAATACCTGTAACGACATTTCAACTCAAAACCACTGAATCGCTAATCCACGATTATGTGTAAATGTGGTGCCTGTGAGAAGTACCTTCGTAAATGAAATGTTTGAATCGTTATACAGTTATAACAAGTATCGAGGTCGCGAAATTAATAGTCAACTTGAGAAAAATATAAAAGGTGTCAACGAACTTGTTACATATACAGAAATTTTTTTTTAAATTTTTTATCGCTTTAATAACTCATTAAAATTTTAGGGAAAAAAATTTACCTGGAAGAACGAAAGATTTTACTAGAATAGTTAAAGATTTAACTGAATCAATTAAAACTTTTGCAAGATAAATCTTTTTTCCATGTATACCATTAATTTTAATTATCATATACATGAAGTACAATTAATTAAAATGATTCGTAATAATTTTTAAAATTTGGAATTATTTTGCAAATAATATAAAATACATGTTTTTAAAATAAAAAATGTTTATACAAATATAAATTTAAAAAGTTTTATAAATATTACATAAATATTTAGACACGAACAAATTTAATTAATAAATATATATAAAATAATAATAAAAAATTTTTGTGAAATGTTTCGTATTGCAAAAAAAATAATCAATGTTTTGTTTTTTTTATGTTCAGCAGATTACCCGTGGGAAGTGAAGCAAGTGTACGGCATCTGAAAACATACACGTGAGTAAAATTAATTATTATTTTAATTATTTTTCAATTATCTTTTTGGAGATTTCTAATACATATATATATATATATATATATAAAGAGAGAGAAAGAGAGAGCGATAGAAAATAGAGTCAAATTTCATTTTATTTTCATTAGCGAAATCTGCTAATTAGCAGAGAAATATAAACGAGTTTTTGTTCATTATAACAATGATATTAATTAACTATCAATGTTAATTATTAATTTAACATTGTATTTGGAAAGAAAGAAAAATTTTATTTACAAATTTTTCTTTTTGGAAATTGAAATTTTTTATTAAAACTAATTACCCTGCGTGACACTTGCAAATTTATGAAAACTTACGATCCGAGAAGGTTATTTCAGAAACATATGTGGTTTAATATCAACTATATACATATATGAGAAGAACAATAATTCACCTTCCTATTTATTATATATAATATACAATGAATAGGAAATTACATGATACATCTCATGTCAAAATGTCTCAATTCGTTACCTATATGAAATCTGACTCTTACAGTTTCTTAATATACTTATTACTCTCAACAATAGCGAGATAAATATTTTTCACATAATTTTTATTTAAAATATTTTTTCACGTTAACAATAATAATTAACAATGATAGTACTCTCTAAATCTGAATCAGTAGAAATTTTACTAATTCAATCAGTACTTTTCATTTTAACTGAAGTTTCAGTTATTTTTTGAAAACTAATATGGCAATTAGTAGATTTCTACTGCTAACACTGTAAAAAGAAGGTACTAAAATAGTACCAATTTTAGGTATTAAAATAGAACCAAAAGGCAATTTAGTATACCTAAAGTTGGTATTAAATTAATACCTCTCGTTTTACAGTGAATCAGTGAAATATGACTGATTCAGATTTAGAGAGTACAAGAATGTTAAAATGTCACAATGAATTTAATAGAAATTAATCTTGATTGAATATCAAACAAGATCAGAAAGGTATATAGAATATATGAGGCAATAAAAATAATAATTATCTATACTGTTCTAAACCGGATCGATGACAGAAGCGTGACCATTGTAATAATATTCTGTTCTAACATGTAGTTTCAATATGTAGAGGAAACATGAAACAATTTGTGGTTGATGGGGTCAAATGGAATGTTATCCTCTACCAAGTCTAGGTCATCGACACCCCTTCCCCCCACCCCACCCCTCCATCAACTATAGAGCATCCTTGGAATGTCCGTTAGTGTATTAATCCCATTACCACAGGATGCAAATTAATGTCAAATTAATCAATATATACAGAAATTACATATATGCCATATAATCTTGTCTTATATAATAATAATAATAATAATAATGATTTTTCATTATTTATTTAGAAAAAATACATCCACTTGGAAATATAATTGCCTCGTTACTGAGATTGTAGAATAGTTTAGGAATAATTTTCACTATAATTACGAAATTATACTAAGGTACCTTAAATTAAATTTAAAAATTCAGTACAAATAACTAGAGAAAATTTTAAACACTCACTGAAAAAATTGTATGGTCCGAGCAATCAAATGTTCGGTTAGTACAACCAAACTTTGGTTAGGCTAATCAAACAATTCGGTTGGCACAACCAAAGTTTGGTTGTACTGACCAAACATTTTTTTCAGTGCTATTAAACTTAGACAGAAATTTTTTTCAATTAATTTATTTTAGGGTTTCGCGGCTTAGGCCCGAAAGCCTTATAGTTTGGTGTCCGTCCGTCCATTGTACACTCGTATGGTTGCCATGGTAACAGTTACCATAGCAACCGTTTCTATGGCAAGCTTTACTAAGGATTTTCTTTCCTTAGCAACGGTTGCTAAGGATTTTTTTCCTTAGCATCCTTTTGATACTTAATGCCATAACGATTCTGAATGTTTAAATTAATTAGAAAAAAATTTTTAATCTGGATGGAAACGAACCACGAACGCACAACCTAAGCTAACACCCAAGCGCTTAACGATCACAGCTACTGCGAACTTGAGAATTTTCTATCGATTTACCTCGTTACTAAAATTGTAAATTAGTTTAGGAATAATTTTCACTATAATTAGGTAGGAAATTACACTAAGGAATCTTATATAAAATTTATAAAATCAGTACAAATAGCAAAAAAAAATTTTTAACCACTTTAGAAAGATTTTTTTGTCAATACATTTAATTTCGTGGTTTTTGAATGTTTATTACAGTTAGAAGATGTTATTTTACCATGTCGCGAATATTTTGCATGGTATTACAAAATATGTATAATGATATACGTTTCGTGAAATGCTATTGATGATTCTTTGTGTGTGTGTATGTGTGTTGGATTATCGTGGCTCGATCGAGAACAAGAATGGTACCGTTGATTGTTGAGGTTAGAAAAACTATTCAAGGTCGTCTGGTTGACCGCGTTCCGTAGCATGGTGGTCCAAACCGAAGAAGCATGTTTCACTGGTCCAGTGTGCGGTTCTTTTGCGCGAGTAAAGTTTTTTTTTTTTCTTTTTTTTTAAATTTATGACCCCATGCAAGAGGGCATTTGGAATATCGTCGGTTATAAAAATGTATATACAATGATCTTATCTATACCATAACAAGTTTCTAATGTTCAATATGCATTTATTGTTAGAAAAAAAAAAATTATTTCCCCACATACAAAAAAATTTCAAATTAACAATAGTTTTTAAAAAAAATGCTCTTTTTTTAAAAAATTTTTGTTTCAGTATGGGAAATATATTTTGTTTTTAGAAGAGGTTTGAAAAAAATGCTCTTTTTTAAAAATTTTGTTTTAGTATGGGAAATATATTTTGTTTTTAGAAGAGGTTTGAAAAAAAAAAATTTATCTAGCAATTTTTGCTGAAGATAATATGTCTTTGTATAAATTTTGGTTCAGTGAGCTCTTTTTTCCACCTCAACAACGATAACAAACTTTCTACACGATTTCGAGAGGATATTAATTTCAACCGGGGAAACTATATAGCATTTTGAAATCCTTCTCTTGTTATCCGTATGATCATTATAATGAAGTGAATTCGAGCACATTACAATTCTGACAAAGACTTCTCTTTTCCGTGTCTCTCTAGGGGGTTTTCCTGTTTTTTTTTTTTCGGAAAAAGTTTCAAAATACCCATATCAGAGCGAAATTGTTATATTATTCATTTCCATTTTTTTTCTGTTACTGTACGCGGCAGATACGATTGACGTTTTAAAAATCTCTTTTGAATTTTGTTCCGAGTTTTTCTCTATCGCTTTTTTTTTTTTATTGGCGAGAAATATTCGCGCCAAAGATTCACGATCGTCGAGCGCGCATGATGTCGAAGAAGTCGTTAATGTCAACCGAGTTATGCCCTTGCCATCTGCGGACGACTACCGGTTCTCTTCTATATCGTGCGGAAATGGCATATAGACTGCTCTCTTCTTATATGGGATCCTCCTCCATTGACGATCTTTGTCGTTTAAGGAGCCATTTTTTATCGACAATGAATTTTCCTTCCGTGATGACCAACACACACACAAAATCGTCGGCTTCTCGATTTTCAAACGACAATCCTAAACGTCGCGCCATGCACTTATATATATATACTCAATATGCGCCAATAAATGGCACATTTCTTATTCCTATTCCGCGTGATATATGGATGCACTTTTTTTTTATCAAGACTCAGTTTTCTTGTACTCGAAATCTTTTTTTTGTCGCACAAATGAAATTTTTTTCTGTTTTGTATTTTAAAAGAAATGAAATTTATTTAAATTGAGTAAATATTTTTTTTAGCTCAGCATATAACGTATAGTAAACACTCGATGGTAGTTTAAATTTTTCTTTGTATTTAATACAATGATATAATTACATTTATTGCACAAAGAGAATAGTATTTTTGGATTCAAATATTTTATATATTTAATTCAAACTTATTTTACGCTTTGTTATAAAGATAAATGCATATATTTGAATTTGTTTCAAACATATGTAAAACAATTCTGTTTTAATACAACTAAAATTTAATATATTTTATAAATTAAAATTAATTAATAATTCATTAAAACTCGTAGATATAAAGTTATATATATTATTAAGGGAAATTTTTTGAATAATTATAAACTTTATTATAATTTGTAGTAAATTTCCTATATATGTTTTTAACAAAAGTCTATAATATTTTCCATAAAGTGAAAATTATTTTTTGAACACATTTTCCTTTTATAAAATTTTGATTTTATTTAATAAATTTTATAAATTTCATTATTGCAATTATTGCTATATTATATAGTCCCACTTGGAAAGATTCCCGGGAAAGTGCCCTCTGGAGGTTCTATCAGAATTCCGCCGGAACTTCCAACGTAATTCCGTCGGAATTCCATCGGAGTTCCAAAGAATTTCCGACGGAATTCCGATTAATTTTTTTCAAAAATTTTTGAGTCCTAATCCCTTCGGAATTCCATCAGAATTCCGTCGGAATCTCATCGGAAATTCTTTGGAACTCCGATGGAATTACGTTGGAAGTTCCGGCGGAATTCTGATAGAACCTCCAGGGGTCACTTTCCGGGGAATCTTTCCAAGTGGGAGAATATTTTTTTCGTTACCTAAAAATAAACTTAATAGTTGAAATAGTTGTAAAAAGGGAAAATCCAAGTTTTTAAACAATGTCACGTTCTGAAAACAGATTTTAAAAGAATATGAAGCACTTTAAACAGTATGTATATAGAAACTTTAGAATCGTCTCTCTAAAAATCTTTAAAACTCACAAAGGTTGCAAAGTTCTTATGGTTGTAAAAAGTTTATTAACTGTAACATATACATGTAAAGTACTGAAAATATATATATACAAAAAAATACACACATATAATTCATTGCACTCAGTAGTAATAATAATTAAATTTGACTAACTTAGCAGAATTTTTTTGTCAATTCCATGAAATTCTCAACTATTTTTTTTTTTTTAATACAATGAAGAAATATCCGCTTTCGCTTTTTTTTTTTTTGAACTGAAAAATCCTCTT